AGGAGACTCGGTGGCGCCAACACCTCTCATCGAGGGCGTGTTGGAGGAGTTCGTGGATGTGATGCCAAAGGAACTACCAAATAAGCTCCCGCCAAGAAGAGAAGTCGATCACAAGATCGAGCTTGTGCAAGGGGCGACGCCACCAGCAAGAGCACCTTATCGTATGGCCCCTCCCGAGTTGGAGGAATTGAGGAAGCAACTCAAGGAGTTGATGGATGCTGGCTTCATCCAATCATCGAAATCCCCCTATGGAGAACCCGTGTTGTTCCAGAAGAAGAAAGACGGTTCGTTGCGGATGTGCATCGATTATCGAGCTATTAACAAGCTCACGGTGAAGAACAAGTGGCCAATCCCCAATATTGGCGACTTGTTTGATCAACTCGGAGAAGCAAAGTGGTTCACGAAGCTTGATCTTTGCTCGGGGTACTACCAAGTGAGGATCGCTGAGGGGGACGAGGCAAAGACCGCTTGCGTCACGAGGTATGGCTCATACAAGTTCCTTGTTATGCCCTTTGGACTAACCAACGCTCCTGCTACTTTTTGCACCTTGATGAACCAAGTTTTCGAGCCGTTCTTGGATCGCTTCGTGGTGGTGTATTTGGATGACATCGTTGTGTACAGCAACACACTCGATGAGCATGCCGAGCACTTGCGACAAGTGTTTCAAGTCCTTCGAGACAACGAGCTCTACGTCAAGAAGGAGAAGTGCACGTTTGCAGCCGCGAAGGTTCCTTTCCTCGGCCACATCATTGGCGGAGGCAAGCTAAAGATGGACGAAGCCAAGGTGGAGGCGATACAAGGATGGGAGCCACCGACGAGGGTCACCGAGTTGCGATCATTCCTCAGCCTGGCCAACTATTATAGGAGATTCATCAAGGGATACTCCGCTCTTGCAGCACCCTTGACGGATCTTCTAAAGAAGAACAAGGCTTGGGAATGGTCGGATCAGTGCCGCGAAGCATTTGAAGCCTTGAAGGATGCGGTGAGAAGGAGCCGGTGCTAGCACTTCCCGATCCAACCAAGGCGCATGAAGTGCAAACGGATGCCTCCGATTTTGCAATCGGTGGAGTGTTGATGCAAGAGGGGCACCCAATTGCTTTTGAGAGCCGCAAGCTCAATGAAGCCGAGAGAAGATACGCGGTGCAAGAGAAGGAGATGACGGCGGTGGTCCATTGTTTGAGAACGTGGAGGCATTACTTGCTTGGGTCGAAGTTCGTTGTACAGACGGACAATGTGGCGACGAGTTACTTCCTCACACAGAAGAAGCTCACGCCCAAGCAAGCAAGGTGGCAAGATTTCCTCGCGGAGTTCGACTTTGTGCTGGAGTACAAGCCGGGAAAGCCAACTTTTTTGCCGATGCTCTTAGCCGAAAGAGCGCACTTGCCGCCATAAGCCAGCCGCAATTCCCCTTGAAGGAGAGGATTGAAGAAGGCCTTAGCCATGACCCCTTCGCCAAAACCGTGGTCGAGTACATCAAGCAAGGGAAGACTCGGCGGTTTTGGACGAAAGGTGGGCTCATCGTGACTAAGGGGGAGCGAGTGTTCGTGCCGCGGTGGGACAACCTACGAAGGGAGATCATGAAGGAGTGTCACGACTCCAAGTGGGCTGGTCATCCCGGCATTGAGCGCACACAAGCTCTCATCGAGGAGGCTTACTATTGGCCTCGTATGAAGGACGACATGGAACTCTACGTCAAGACTTGTCTTGTTTGCCAGCAAGACAAGATGGAGCAGCGGAGTCCGGCGGGCTTGTTGGAGCCATTACCCACTCCACAACGACCTTGGAAAAGCGTGAGCATGGATTTCATCATCGGCCTTCCCAAAGTCGAAGGGTGTGGTTCCATCATGGTCGTCGTCGACCGATTTTCGAAGTATGGCGTCTTCATCGCGGGGCCCAAAGACATGACGGCCGAGGATGCAGCCCGCTTGTTTTTCAAGCATGTTGTGAAGTATTGGGGCATCCCGGTTAGCATCGTCAGCGATAGAGATGGCCGCTTCACCGGCAAGTTTTGGAGGGAGTTGTTCAAGATAATGGGCTCCGATCTGAACTTCTCCACGAGCTTTCATCCTCAAATAGATGGGCAAACCGAGCGGGTCAATGCTTTGGTGGAGGTCTACTTGCGGCATTACGTGAGTGCCAACCAGAAGGATTGGGTAAAGCTATTGGATGTAGCCCAATTCTCCTACAACTTACACCGAAGTGAAGCCACAAGCATGAGCCCGTTCGAGTTGACGACTGGCCAACAGCCGTTGACACCTAATACGGTGACGACGGGGTACAAGGGCAATAGCCCATCTGCCTACAAGTTTGCACGAGGGTGGCACGAGAAGATGGAGTTGGCGAAGTCTTATCTCGCTCGAGCAACGAAGAAGATGAAGAAGTGGGCGGATAAGAAGCGGCGTCACTTAGAATTCGAGGAGGGAGACTTGGTGGTGGTGAAGTTCTTCCCTCATCGATTTAAGCACCTAAAAAATGTGCACAAGGGGCTGCTACGACGGTATGAAGGGCCATATCCGATCTTGAAGCGGATTGGCACGGTGGCGTACAAAGTTGAGTTGTCATCGCATTTGGAGATTCACCCCGTCTTCCATGTGAGTCAATTGAAGCCATATCATGAAGACAAGGAAGACGGAGCGCGGAAGGAGTCGACGAGGGCACCAACTCTCGTCAACACAACACATGAGCACGAAGTGGAGGAGATCATGGCTCATCGTGTTGCGCCTAGGCGTGGTGTTCACCCAAGATACGCGGAATATCTTGTCAAGTGGAAGGGGCGGCCAGAAAGCGACATCACTTGGGAGAAGGAGTTTTCGCTATGGCGTCACAAAGACTTGATCGAGGCATTTCATGCGGAGTCCACGACAAGGGCGTCGCGAGATTGAGTGGGGGAGAATGTTACGCGGAAGATTCTAGAGCATTCTAGAACGATGCAAGTACGTGCATGCATCTTCCGATTCATGCACCAATGTACATGCATCCCCTTTTTCTATCTTTGTTCATGCATCTTATTTATTACATTCATGTATGGGGCTAGTTCATCTATGGGGGGACTATCTAGGTTCGTTCATTTATGACGGCCATGTACATTATACTTAGTGGAGAGGATGCCTATATAAGGAGCCCTCTCCACCACTTTTCATTCATCCAGAAATTGAGAGTTTTCCATCTCTAGAGCATTTCTCCATACTTGTGAGTTTGAGTGAATACGAGCAAGGCTGACTTAGCGCTCTAAAGAGACTTGAGTGCTAAGTGCCGCACAGCCAAGAGTTGGTCCGTGACAATGTCACGACCCGAAATGTCGTGACCGTGTTGATCGTCTGAAGAACGCTGCCATCTGGTTGTCTTGCCATGAGAAGGGTAAAGGGGGCGACATTAGCGATAAGGCGTTGTCTGCCTGTGCATCGCATCTGGCCGAGTCAGGATGTGGCTATGAAGGGGATCATTGCAAGAGAAGGCACAACTAGTCGGAGGCTATTGCCGTCTCCCTGATGAGCCCAAGGCAGGGCGAAACCAGTTGGCATGCGTATGCAGAGAGGCTGGTCTTGAGGAATGAGTGCACCTTAAGACGCCGCACGGACTTCGGAAGTCTATGTCCGTGACAAGTGGTATCAGATGGTTAGGCTGAAGAGCCTAGTTCCTCTCTCGGTACGGCATAGGTCGTGTATGGGCCGACCCTATGCCCGAATGAGAGGCGGTCCTGGGTGTGCATATCAGGCGGTCCGGACGCAGATACACATGTGTTGCGCCGTTGTGGGGGACCTCGACAGGCTGAGATGCAGCGGCCGAGAATGCCGTTCAACCGAGGAACTAACGCTAGCGTGAGCGTAGGGTGAAGGTCGATTGAGGTACAAACGCTGGGAGTAGCGTAGGGTGAAGGTCGACTGAGGTACTAGCGCAGCAGAAGCAAAGAGTGAAGGTTGATGTCGAGGGGCGAAGCGGTATGTGCGCGGGGCACAGCAGGCTAGCGCGAGAGACGCGACCGGAGCCTGTCCATAAGAGGATGGTATCGTATGCGGACGCCCACAATCGGTTCGAGGGTTGCAATACATGCTGCGGAGAGAAGCATTCTTCACCAGCACGAGGACGTGCTGCATTATGAGTGGTGGAGAATGTCACGACCCGAAATGTCGTGACTGTGTTGATTGTCTGAAGAACGTTGCCATCTGGTTGTCTTGCCATGAGAAGGGTAAAGGGGGCGACATTAGCAATAAGGCGTTGTCTGCCTGTGCATCGCATCTGGCCGAGTCAGGATGTGGCTATGAAGGGGATCGTTGCAAGAGAAGGCACAACTGGTCGGAGGCTATTGCCGTCTCCCTGATGAGCCCAAGGCAGGGCGAAACCAGTTGGCATGCGTATGCAGAGAGGCTGGTCTTGAGGAATGAGTGCACCTCAAGACGCCGCACGGACTTCGGAAGTCTATGTCCGTGACAGTACCCGCCCACACCCATATAATTAATTTTCTCGGTATATTTAATATTCTAAACAACTAATCTTATTTATGTTTGTGGAGACATGTCTAATTTTTTCTTTCTAATTGTGTAGAATGAAGTTGATGTTATCGAGTGGAGAGTGAAGAAACTTAATTGAAAGGAAGAAGCTTTCAATTAATCATGTTATTTATGGATAATTTGTGATTGACTTCTTTCTTGAGTTTTCTAGATTGGTGTTGAACAATTTGTATAGCTTATTTGTGATTTGCTTGAATTTTCTATGATGGTGTTTTATATATGGATAATTTGTATTGAGAGATTGATATTTGACTTTAATTTTGATAGGAACTTGTTATTTTAAATTTTTTACGACAAAAACCCGTGGGTACCCATGAACCCGCGGATACCCAGCAGGTTGGGTTGGGTTTGAGTTTTTCAAACCCAGTGGGTTTTATTCCGGGTTTTTTTCACGGATAAACCCATGGGTTAGGGTTTGGGTTTGGCAAAACCCGACCCAATCCGACCCATTGCCATCCCTAGTTTTATGCATAAATTTCTATTAACATCCTCCAATTCTTTTGAATTTACAACTCAGTACATTTACGCATTGTATACATTTTCATTTGCTATAAACATTCTGTTCATCATCATGGTCTAGCCTCTAGCTCAGTAACTGTGAGCTGATTTGTCGAATAATCACGAGAACTAGCCAATCGATCGTTACTCGCTATGTCGCTGAAGAATCTCACGTCCTTGATCCCGACGTTCTTATCCGTTATTGCACTGGTACTGCTGCTGCTACTGCTGCTGCTGTAGAGGTCTCTGAGCATCGTAGAAACCTCCTGCATGCTCGGCCTGTCCCTCGGCTTCCTCTGGATGCACAGCAGAGCGATCCTCAAGCAGTTCGCCAGCTTGCAAGGCGAATTCGAGTCGTCCAGCGAAGGATCCATGATCTCCATCCCTCTACCTTCTTTCCACATCTCATATGCCTATCCACCAGCAAACAAACAAATGGAAGTTACAGAACAGTCTCCAGCATCTTAAGTTACCCTTTAATGGTGCAATTTAGAAAGAGTGATTTGGAATTTGGATCCTACGAAGACATGAAGCTCTAGATCTCCATGAGGGCCATAGCGGGTAACACATCTCTTGCCGCTTATGATCTGCAGAAGAAGGATCCCGAAGCTGTAAACGTCGGATTTCTTGGAGTAGACACCTTTCTCCAGATACTCTGGAGGGCAATAAGCTCTGTAAATTAGCATACCCATTAGTTTCTGTAACATATACATGCTTGAGAGAACTGACAGCATAATGCAAAACTAGCCTGCTGCTAATCATACAAATCTCAAAACTTGCATTACCTTGTGCCAGCAAAACGTTCAGTGTTGGCTTCTGATGAATCTCTCTTCAAAATCCTAGCCATCCCGAAATCCGAAATCTTGGCCTTCATGTCACAATCCAACAGAATGTTGCCCGGTTTGAGATCTCGATGAATGATCGATTGCCCGGAATATTCTTGGAGGTACAGAAGTCCTTGAGTGACTCCTTCGATGATTTCCGCTCTTATGGCCCAATCCAAAGCCAAGCTCCTCACTGGATCTGATATATATGAAGATGTAACCTAAATCATTAATCAATATGGAACACCAAAAATCTTTAAAATGAGTTCATCGTCCAACAACCATTGAGCTTAATTATTAATTAGTGACACTGACCGAAAAGGTACTGATCCAAACTGTTGCCGGGTAAATACTCATAGACCAACATTCGCTCTCCTTCGTCGATACAGTACCCTAAAACCCTGACTAGGTTCACGTGTTGCAGTTGTGCTGTGAGTATCACTTCGTTCTTGAACTCCTCGTCTCCTTGGCTCGAGTTTCTCGACAACTTCTTCACCGCTATCTCCACTTCATCGGCCAACACCCCCTGCTTGTATAGATGTTGAAGTATAAATGAAATCACACTCTAATACTCATATATAAACACAATGTATGTGGGTTGTCTGTGTCAGCTTCAAGCTCAATCGGCCACTTTCACTTGAGAGGAACGTATAAATAATACTATATCGATTTACGAACTTCCTTAGCAATTCAAATCGTTAATAGTAATGAAACGGGTAATGTACGACGCACCTTGTAAACAGGTCCATATCCACCTTGTCCAAGCTTGTTCAGAATGGAGAAATCATTGGTAGCTTTCTCAAGTTGTGAGAAGCTATATGGAACCACCACCATTCTAGGATTCTTCTCCTCAATCTCGCCTGCAAAAAGCGACGCCGCATCCTTCTCTCTCTTTCCTCCTATATGTAAGAGAGTGATATAAGTCCATAATTAATCTTCTTCTTCTCACAACAATTTGAGTAAATGGGACCAAACAGTTTATGGCAATGGTACCAGAGATGGTTTGACCAAATGATCGTGTGTTTGAATATCTACAACCCTAATATTAACAGTTGATAAAATACAAATACAAAGTATAATAAACATTACTTGTTGATGATCTTATCGAACTTCTCGAACGACGGCGTCTTTGTCGCAGGTAAAACAATACCATTATCCCAGCGCCAATTAATAGTCCGAGCAAAATAGGTAAGATTACGTACAATAGAATTTGTCGTTGCTTCTTTGGTTTCATATTCTTCTTTTCCCCTTGAGTTACAGCTATCCGAGTAGTAGAAGCTGTAGCATGCCAAAAATCAAAGGAATAAGATTAAGGGGTAGTTTGGATGAGGAATTGTAACGGATCAATTTGACATAATTGTCTCGTTTTGAGACAATTGTACCAAATTGCTTGCCTCGTTTGCCAGTAAAAAATTTGGATGGATCAATCTGTCTGGGTATTTTGAATTGATCCGTTTTGAGTCAATTTCAATTACCTGGGATGGGGGGCAGGTAATTCGAATTGACTCATTTTAATTGCCTCGTTTATAAAACGAGACAATTGATCAAATTAACTCATTTCTAGATTGATCCATTCAAACGACCCTAAGTGTATTCACATACACGCCGTAAATAGTCACAATGACTCGAATTGTAATTTAACATTTACGATCTACAAGCATCGTAGGATTTTTCAACACTAGATTTTGCACTAGGCAGTAAAAATATTTTACTGCGTTGTTTACTATACCTGCAACGTGGGAGAGCGTCCCATTGTCATCGTAGGGTATCTGCCACATGGCATATCCCCGCAACCCCATTCGTCTAGCGTAGTCAACCTTCGCCCGCACGGCATCCACGTCATCGTACCCGATCCACGTGGACCCAACCGAGCAGTAATTCACCACGTAGCTCTCGTTGTAGTAAACCCGCGCCCGGTTCGCCTCCACAAACCGCCTGATATCCGCGTACCGGTAGAACCCGTTCCCGGTGATCGCCGGCCCTTCCGCCGGCGACCCAACTCCGACGACCTGACTCCCCGCCGCAGCCGCCGCTCGTCGAACCGTCCACGCGTAGCCATACGCGGCCAAACAAAGGACCATCTTGCTCGCCGGAAGTCCCTTCCCTATCCACTCCTTGACCCCGGAATCCGTCCCGCCGGCCGGGTCGTAGAGGGCGGCGTGACCCGCCGTGAAGTTGTCCGATTTGGGCGTACGGTACTCGCCTGCTCTCAGATGCACCCAATCCAAACTCCGGTTCGCCGACACCACGGGAATCGGCCAAAACGACAACGTTGCGGTCAAGAGCAGAGTACCGTTCTTCTTTCTATCGGTCGAGCTACTTCGTTCCTCGCTGCCGGCCGCTACCTCCCGATCAATTGCAGCCCGCCACTCGTCGAAAAGGTCGCCAATGTTCGCCACCGACCGGCGATTCCCGGGACACGACCACGCGAAATCGAGCCCCTGGAACCCCAGCCGACGAGCTACATCAATGGAGGAGTTGATGAAAGACCCTCTTGAAGTGGAATTCTTCAGCATAGAAGAGAAAATGTCGAAATTGGTCCCGTTGCATCGGATCGAAAGGAGGGTCGTGATCGATGGGTTCTTCGATCGGACGGCGGAGGTGAAGTTGGAAAACGACGGCTCGTCGGAAGGAGGAATCATGAGCTGGAACGAAGAAGGGTCGACGGTGGAGAAGCCGCAGATGAGGTGGGTGAATGAGGACGTGTCGATGCTGGATACGGGGAAGCCTCGGTCCGACGACCAGTATCCTGCCTGAATCCATGGAGTCTTCGCCGCCGACGATAGAATGAGTTGACAGTAGACGGATAGAAGGAAGCTGAGCAGTGGTTTGATACTGAAATCCATGGCGGGTTTTCCGTGATTAGCTTAGTGGGAGGAGAGCATTTAACATACTGATCTTGGTACCAATCGAGCTTGGCCATGGCCGGTCAACTAATCCACTATGGTTAAACGGGATTAACATGCGATTATAAGTTTAATTAATTAAAAGTTGTAATTTGGCTTTTAGTGTTGAAACTAGATGTGATTAATATGATTTGTTTTTCTTAATTTGGTCTAACATACTTTGTTAGGATCGCCGATTGAAAGAGCTAATTGCAGTGTCGGCATTTGAATGTGTCATGTATATATTAATGAGTATCTGTTCTATCGTTTAGCAGAAGGCAACCGTGTTGGCCTGCAGCTTTGGCGTCGAATCTTTACTCATTCGGCACTGCCAACTTTGAACGAGTAATAGCTTGCGGTTTATCGAAAAAGTCAGTAATGAGATATTTTGTATTTAAACCGTAATTTACCATGATTCAACTGTTCCATACAAGTAAAATTGTCTATCGACTTAGACTAACGTTTTTCGATTGAACCACCGGTACAATATGGTTTTGCAAACACCGCCTATTACGCTACTGTCAAATTGGCTTGGGGAGGAAAGAAAATGGGAGATATGCGTCTTTCAAATCAAAGATGGCAATCTAAGCTGATTCTTTCCTACCAAAGATGGCAATCAAAGATAGAAGGCAACAGAACATCCAAGCAAAAGTAGACAATGCAGCAGTAGACAAAATTTTGTGATACATGCCTGAAGAATTTACTTTCAGTGTCTTGCATTCCTTAGGTGAAATGCACTTAAAACATACAAGCAAAAGAAGCCATGAAACTCTACCAACAAACAAAAGAACAAAACAAAAGGACACCTTGAAACTAATTCATCTTACTGATCAAGTCGTTAATCTTATCTTCGCGATTTCCAGAGTCACCGCCATCCTTGAACAGCGCTTTCTTGCCTTGCAGCCCATCTTTCGGCTTGTTGAGCGAAAATGGTCCCAGGAAGCTATTGATCTCCTTGAAGTGTGGTCCAATGGTTGTGATCTCGTGAACGAGATCTTCCAGGCATAGAATACCGTATTCGCCTAATGCCTGTCATCAGAGGGTGTTGCTGTAAAGAGCCGATTGAAAAGAGTCATGCAGCTGAAGGTTTCAAAGGGTATTGTTGAATACCTGTTCAATGATATTGTTGTCTATCAAGGCAACTCTCTGGTTGTCCTTCTTTCCATGACCCTTCTTGTATATCAGATCAGTGACAGTTTTAACACTTGGATACCTTTATAAGGGAATGAAATACTATAAGATGACCAACAGATAGAGAGATCGATTGAGAAAGCAAACAGGCGTGAAGGATAAGATAGAAAGACAAGCAACAGCTGAAAACTTCTTTGCCCAACACAAGAAATGTAAGACTTTCAAGCATGTGATATAGTTCTCAAATCCTAAGCAGAGCAAGAAAATATCCCATTCGAAGCAAGCATAGAAAGGTTCAGTCCTCTTACCCATATGTGATGTACGGCTCCACCCTTTTTAACATCTCTAACACTCCTTCACTTGCCCTCATGAACGCACCATCATAGACTTTGCTCAGCTTTAGCTTGTAAAGGATCTTCCTAACTTTCGGGTGCATGTCGTTCTTTCTGAAATCACATTTACAACACATTAGAAATCCGCAAATGAAAGCCCAAAGCAGCACTCAAGAAAACTCATCTGAATCCATTCGACGACAACATACCCTTGTATCCGCACCACAAACAAAAGCTTCGGCTTGGGCACTGCTGATCTCGTTGTCTTTGGCCTCTTAGTCCTCTGCTTCATTCGTATGAGATCCAATTCCTACGCAGAACTTCCATCATTTTCCATTCAAATGCTAATTCATTCCGTTGATCCGTTCAATCCAAAATGGACTTCAATGCATCAAAAGGGAAACACAGATTTCCTCCTTGAGAGAAGCAAAGCAACAGCTCTTGGCTTACCCTGTCTCTGTACTCCTTGACAAAGTGCTCCGGCCTCTTGATATCGTGAACTCTCCTCTTCTTCTCAGCACGAGCCCCCAACTCCAGCTGATTCTTCCTCGTGAGCGCTATGGATTCCTCCTTGTGCTTCCTCTTCTTCAGAACAATCTCTGGTATGTAAGCAAGTGGCTTCTGCTCCTCTTCCGCCATCGCCATCACGCAGCAAATACTCTTTCGCTTCCTTACACCTATAGTCCAAACAAATAACGAAACGAAACCCTCGAATCATTAGCTGGTTCTCCTCCCTCTGTATCAATCTCACTGAAGCTAATTACTAATCGGTAGAAATTCTCGAGGTTCGAAGAATCCAAGTTCTGTTTGGCTTCCCAATTGAAGACAACGAAAAAGACGACGAACAAGGAGATGGTGATTACCTGTGGAATCGAAGCTTTTCCGGCGGCGGGAGTCGGTGGAGAGAGGGAGAGGGAGAAGGTTTTCGCTTTTTTCGGCTTCGAATCCTTCAACAAAGCCCTAAACCCTCGGGAAGGTGATGGCAGTTGGAGTTCGATAGAGAATCAACTGGGCATGCTCGATAGAGAGGGCTTTCTTGTTTGGGCCTCAAGCCCAATTCACAAAACCCCACGTCGACAGGAAGGTAAAATTGCTCCAGGACAAGGTTGTCAAACCGGTTTATGCCAGTGTGCCGGTTTAGCAAGTAGAATGGTTCAACCGGTGGCACATACCGGTTTGTGCCGGTTCATGCCGGTCAATATTACAAATAAAATTATAAATACTCATATTGAAACATGACATTTAACGTCAATACCTAAACATTTATATTTGAATCCAACAAATAACATCAATATTTAACTTTTATACTCATAAAATAAATAATAAAATAATTTTTATCAATTAAATTCTCTAAAATAAGGTCATTTTACTTAGAGATTCGTATATCGATCATGCCGGTCATACCGGTGGTGTCACGCCGATTTTATGACCGGTACCGGTTGAACCCGGTATAACCGGTGGCACGCCGGCCGGCGTGACAACCATGCTCCAGGATCTCCAGCCCACATAGAATATTAGTTCATTATTCAAGAAATTAAATTTGAGACAATTTTTTTTCTAGAAATACCACTAAAAAGAATAAAAATTCCAAAAATACCACTCGTTTCCGAAATTTTTAAAAAATACCACCATTTCTCGTTAACCGTATGGGTCGTGGTGGTTTTGGTGACCGCATGGGGTAGGAGCGGTTTGGTAAAAAAAAATTCGATCAATCCTAACGTAGGTGGAAACTTCAAACGAACGTATTTGTGTGCTCGAATATCCGATCGTCGTGATTTTTTTTATTTCGCATAAATTTTCGAGATCTTGCAAGCCGCAAATGGCCGTAGGCGGTTTCGTCCTGCAAAAACGTCGTATGCTACATTTAACGAGTTTTTCCCCAATTTTCGTCAAACTTTGTGCTCCGTACTCTGAACGTCATGAATTTTTTTTAATTCGCATAAATTTTGAAGGACTAAAACTTTTAGAAGGAAGAGATTTTCAAAACAGAAAATATTTTTGGATATACGGGATTTTGGCAATAACATTACCTTCACTTTTCACATATCCACGTACATCCCGAAATTATGGCTATGATAAAATTGTAGTCCTTCAAAAATTATTCGAAATAAAAAAAAAATCATGACGTTTGGAGTGCGAGCACAAAGTTATGACCGCCCAAAGTTTGACAAAAACGAAAAAAAACTCATTCAGGGTAGCAAACGACATTTTTCCAGGACGAAACTGCCTACAACTGTTTGCGGCTTGTAAGATCTTGAAAAGTTATGCGGATTAAAAAAAAAATTCGATACGATCGGATACTCAAGCACAAAGATATATTGGTTTGAAGTTTCCACATGTATTAGGATTGATCATTTTTTTTTTTTGTTACCAAACCGCTTGGTTGGGCAGCAATTTTGGACCAAACCGCCCCGACCCCATGCGGTCCCCAAAACTGCCCCACCCATGCAGTTTACATCGAAAACTATGCCCCCACCAGGTAGGGGTGTTCAAACGGTTTGGTTACCATGGTAACCGTTTTAACCGGTACTATTTGGATAATTTGGTTTGGTTAATTTGGATAATTGGTTTGGTTTGGTTTGGTTAAAGTTTTTAGCTTGTTTGGTATAGGTGGTTTGGTTTGGTTTCAGACACTCATAACCAGTCAAACCAAATTAACCAGTTAAGTAATTAGTCATATATCTAACATATATTATATATACATACTTAATACTTTGCATAACCACTCAAGAATTAATGGTCATCCTTTTTAGACTCATAAAATATAAAGTTCAATATTGCTCATAGTGTATATTTGTATATGTAAAATGTAGACCACAACATATTGACGCCTAATTTAGATAAATTTCATACATTATGATGGATGAAAACTTGAAAGGAAGGTCATTTCCAGCCTATGATAATTGCTAAGAGACTAAGTCAATTTACACAAACACAACAATTCATTAACCCATACCATTGTCATAAATTTTTGTTAGGTGAATACTTCTATACTAATCGTAAGATAATTGTCTTAGTTGCATGTATTTTTGTTAAGGGTAAACTATAACTACGTGTTGATTGTTATGTTGTATTCATTATATAAATTGGGAATTGTTGCATTAACCGGAAAATTTTCATCGTCAATGATAATGTGATTTTATATTGGTTAATCTGGTTAACCAATTAACCAAACCGATTAAACTTTAGTTTGGTTAATTTGGTTGTTGTATTAGTTTGGACGGTTTGGTTATGATATTGTATTCCATGGTTAATGGAATTTAGCCTTATTTAGTTTGGTTATAACCATGGTAATTGTTGGGGGTGTTGCTAAGATACTCCCCGCAGAGACTAAGTAATACCGCGTCCAATCGACAACGTATGATGCTCTAAACTCGCTAAGAGTTTATAAATGTATGAAACCCACAAAGGAGGGGGATTTCTGCTCTCTCTCCTCACTTTCCACTTTCTACTATCTCTCTACACCTTATCTCTCTATCTATTCTCTCAACTCTCTCCACAAACATACACTGACTTGATCGTCGGAGCTTAATCCGGGGGGCAACCCCGACTCTTTCACAGATTTCTTCCCTCCCGACGAGATCAGACGAACGGATGACAAGTCGACCCACACAACAATCATTATTGTTCATGCCTCGAGCTAGTAACCATTTGAACACCCCTACCACCAGGCGGTTTTCGAGCAATGGTGGTACTTTTGGAAAATATTGAAAATGATTGGTATTTTTGAATTTTTTTTCTTTTTAGTAGTATTTCTTGAAAAAATCACTCATATTCTTGGTCAGAATCTTGGAGCCAACAACTAAGGAAAATAAAAATATTGAAAAATATGATTAGAAAATTGTTGGGTTAACAAGTTTGCTAGCTTTTACCAATGGCAGGATGAATTTTATTTTATATGTTAACCAATTCATTCATAATTTTCAGTGATTTGGAATCTTCTAAATAATAGTCATGTTTTGAAAGTTATCTTTGTGCTACTTGTTGGTAATAACATTAATGATAAATAGTTCATAATTAATTTGTTGATTAAGTTATTCTAGCTTGTTATTGTCTGATTTTCATATTTTTGAAAAAAAAATGTAGTTATTCTTGATAGATTGCTTGAAATACATTTCTTCATGAGATTAGTAGGTATCATTAACTTTTTTTTTCTATTAGCTCCAAATGAACTATGATGTTATGCACCAAGGTAGTAATTAGAAACTCTAAAATGTTGGTAAAGAGAAAATTCACCACGTAAATGAGCTCAGACTTTATTGTCAATGATGAACCTAAAAAGTAATAGTTGAGAAAGTATATACATTATGAAATGCAAATTGATAATTAATATATATCTCCCAAATCAGCTGTGTGTAACCATTACCAAGTTATCAAAATACAAATTCCTCCATCAAAGAGTACTTCTGCAAGCACAATTTCACCTCCGTCTTTGTACAAAAACAACACGATCATTATACTCTATACAGTCATACTCGTCCATGACCTCAGAGTGAGCAACAAGATGAAAGACAACTTAAAAGGAGAACCTAGCCACCTCCTCATCTTCATCCTCGTCAATGCCATCAGCCTCCTCATCGTACTCCTCGTCGCTAAACGTCTCCAGTTCTTCCTCCTCTTCTTCATCATCTTCCATTCCAACCATTGAACTGCCAGACTTGTCTTTTAAACCGGTACTCAGGACCACAGTCTCGCCTCTTGTTTTCTGCATGTCCTTCCTCAGTTTCTCCATGTTCTCCCTTCGCCGTTCTTCCTCCAGTCGCTCCTTCTCTGCCCGCCTCTTATCGAGATCAGCCCTAAAGCAACAATGTTCAAAGGTTAAAAACAAAGCAGAAACAAGAAGGCAACAGCTAAGTGTTTTTTCAGTCAAAAGCTTAAGGCGAAAGATTACTTATAAGTCTCCATGTACTCCTCAGCACTGGATTCAATGGCCTTGAAGAAGGCGTCCATCCCAGCACCAGAAACAGCAGAAACCCCGACTGATTTCAGGTTCTTGTAGAACTCATCAAGGACTAGGGCAAGGCTTCCGGTCAATGTAGAAGAGTAAGAATGATCTGAGCTTAGTGCTGCTTGAAAGGCATCAAAATCTTCCATCCACTGCATTTATGGTCGCCGAGTAAAGAGAGATTCAGAATGGATGAAATCACATTTGGGAATCAATTCAACAATGAAGTCTATCTATACCCATGATTATTCAGAGATGTATCATACCTCTAAAGCAAATTCGTGCTGAGACACGTCATTCTTGTTGAATGCCAATACAAGAGGTAACCGAGTCTTATAGAGTATGCTGCAGGCATAAAGCATATTACTCATGAAAGTAATAGGGCTTGTTGCTCGAGGTGTGTCAACTACATAAGCAATCACAGTGGGAAACGTAGAAGCGAAAGCTTCTGTGATGATCGCCCCGGAAGCTGACCAAGTAAAGATCTCAATCTGTCCAGGTGTATCCACCAGGACATAATCAAGCTGATCTGCTCTCTTCTCTATCATAGAAACAACCTGAAAATTGGAGCATGCACTGGAACTCTAAGACTCTTTCAGAGATGCATAATGACGAGATGAGACTATAGGCAAGTGATCAAACACAAGGAACCAGTGATTTCTACAGGCGGACACCGAAAAGATCATAGCTTTACACCAACAATGCAACAGTTTCTTAACATTTACCTCATCAAACTTAGTGGCGAACAGATTGAGCGATGTTAGAATGCCACCATTCGGCCCCAGATTGAACTGCTTCATCACTTCCTTGTACTTAACAGTATCCCTAATATCGATATTTGCACCGTACGGGAGAGTCATCACAGCAGGGTCGAGATTCAAGACGTAACCCCGAATGTTTGAAGCTTGAGTATGGGCAACCAATCTATGAAGCAAAGTCGTTTTGCCACTACCTTCACAACCATGAAAAACAGGGCAACAATTCTTAAACCAGCACTCAAAGTTTCTTGGTCCAGTTTCCATTTCAATGACACCCACACAACAAGGAGACAGATAATTTACCTGCCATTCCTATGACAATGATCACCACAGGCTTCTTCTTGAAATTTGACGAAGAAGACCCAGCATCAATCTTCAGATTGTCCATTGATTGTGCCAGCTCTTCCTTGCCTTTCCCCCCAATACCCTAAAACCAAATCATTTCGAACAGCAATCAATGAACAGAGACCAAACCAAAACTTCCCCAAATACAACTAATTCACCAACTCTTCAGTCGTCTCTACAGTAAAAGTGCAAGAACCACAGCACAAACGAAGCAAAAAAGAAGGGAAGTTCCAGTCCTCCGCCGGTCGGAATACCTTGGCGTCCACTTCCATCGACGAATCGTTATCAGAGGGTTTCGCGTCCACGTCCATTGTTGAGCTTTATAGTACGGCTTCGGAGATGAGGAACTCGCCAACCCAGAAACGAGGAAGAAGAGAAGAAAAGAACAGCTGCGAGAGACGACGGCGAACCGATGTGGCGGCGACTTCTGGAAGGGTTCTTGCAGGCTGAATGAATAAAATGTGGGAGTTGAAAGCAAGTCCGTAAATATAAATGAAAACGGGGACCAGAATGTGCGTTTCAAAAATTAAGTGACTAAAAAGTGGAAAGGTGAAATTTAGATAAAACAGGCGCCAAACTTTGCATTCTACCAAAAACAGTCTTATGTTTCCCCCCTGCCGCTGCGATTTAGAAGTTGTTTTTTGCCGCGGCCGCCGCCGGATTTTCCACCGCCACTCCGTCTCAACCGCTACTATCAACTTAATTCCGAGGAAAAATCAAGGCCCCTTCCGGTTGACGGGTGAACGTTGAGTTTTGTTGAAGTTTGCTTCGAATCGGAAGAGGTAAAACAACTGCCACTGAGTCATTTTGTCGAACACCTTGTATGCATGTTTCCTGCCTATCATCGGCAGGGATTTTGGGAATTTTTGTTTTCTGGGTCTGCCTCTTTGAGTCAAGATGAAACTTGGCTGTGTGAATCAGTAAAGGGAGACATGGAAGGGTGGGAGTGGGAAGGTGCTTCAGGAGAATTGAGCGACGAGGAGATTTGCTTGGAAGACAACGATGACAACGAAGAACTTCTGAACCTCAGTGGTCATTCAAAGAAGCTTCAGTTCAGGTAACGAAAATTTCTCCCGGGCCTCATCATCTGATTTTGGAAAATAGCCATTCTGAAGCTTTACTCGAAAATGGTGTGTCCAGGAGTGATGCTTCGAAGGCCATATGGAACAAGGAGTTAGGAATGGCTGAGGTGATAGAAAAGAGAGGCAAAATGTGGATTACAGTGGGTATTGTGCGAGGTGGCAAGACATATTGCTCAATTGAGGAGACTATGTAATAAAGTTCAAAGCTTTTTGCTCTAACTAATCTACCATTTCGATGATCCTATTTCGATGAAATTGAACCCGTGGTGTTGTTTTCACTGCAGATTTTTGGCTGAGGTTGGGGCATTACATCTCATGGACACTACCAATGTACAATTCTCCTTGCAACACATGTACGAGAAGATTGCAGAAGAGAAGAATGGTTGCGGCTGGGAGCTTTTTGAGGTTTATAGGCACTTGAAGTCTCTTGGTTACATCGTTGGCCGCCATGGTGTTCCTTGGACCGTGAAGGGTGTAAAGAGCGAGAGCAACTCCAGCTCTTCTCAAGCCACTCTAGACCACAACAACAGCAACAATGCAGTTGTGGATGGCGAATCGAAAGATGTAGGCTCGATCACTGAAACGCTTGGTAATTTGCAGATTGATGGGATGAAACCCGCCTTCGATGTTTACCTTCCAAACAGCAAGTTCAGGAAGTCTTCACCTGGTCAACCCAACTTTCTCCTCTGCTTAATCAGGTTACTTCCAGCTTTCATCAACGGTGGTCTTGACTCTTGACTGCTACAACCTGATTTCTCACTTCAATGCATTACATGTTTTCTCAGGGACAACATGCCGCTGTCTATAGTGAAGATCGAAGCGCTGGAGAGTCTGTGTGGTGGGATTTCTGTGAAGTTCTGCCATGTAGAGCATGGCCGCGTCAGCTTCTTCAGCATGAAGAAGGCTGAGCTTCCAGTACTTCCTTGAATCCGTACCTGCGTTGAATCTCTTAGACTGAACTGTAAGTTCACACCCAAACCTTAGAAATTTATGTGTCACTATTGACTCTTACAATAGTCCTTTCAGATTTTTGTTGTTTTCCTTGGCGTGGAAGATATTAAATTATATGTGAAGAATACCTTCACGCCGCCATGGTTGACTAGTACATTAATCTACATGGCTAATTATTCATCATGCCTTCCTGTTGTAATGAATGAAACTTCAGCTAGAACAAAAGACTTGCAAAAATGGGTTCAAGACATTTTCTTGCCAGAATCTTTCATCTATTCTTCTGTTTCCAAATTTCCAATTCAACTGAACCAGAAACTCCAAGCCTCTTCATGGCTATCAACTTCATCTTTGTCCTTCTGTCGAGTGAATCTGACTAGCTATTACTCTGACTTTGGGGCGATCAGCGCATACTGACCCTGTTTAAATCGCCCAGGACATTCCCAGCCAGTTGAATCGACGCACTGATCACCCCGACGACACTAGTATGCTAGCTCACTTGCCTGTCAGGTTGATGTCATATAGGTATACAACTTTTCCAGTCTCCTTCAAGTTCAGTTTAGAGTTGAGACGTGTTTCCACAGTTTTGCCTGATGTGTGTGTACAAAAATGGCAAGTCAGCAAGTCATCGTCGCCAAATTTCCATTGCCGGATTCTATACGTCTCTCTCTGCTGGAAACCACGCAGAAATATCTCTCAGGACTTTCTGCTATTTCACCCAACATTTCAACTTTTTCCAGAAAAAAAAAAAGACCTCTCATTTTCACACATTGATCATGTTTAGTCATCTCAAACTTTCTAGTTTGTTCAGAAGAAGAAAAGAAGTAAAAATGGCAGCACAAGAACACTTCCCGCCATAAACTAGAGCTTCCATCCATGGCAGCTAGGAAGCCTTTTACACTCATGCATCTCTGTTTCATAATCTTCTGCTTCTGCATCATCTCGATCTTTCAGTTTCACGGCTCGACGGCACAGCAACAGCCGAGAATCAAAGCAGCGTACTGGTACTCCGGCAGCGGCTACCCAGTCGCCGAAATAGACTCATCTCTCTTCACCCACCTCGTCTGCGGATTCGCCACCGTCAACTCCTCCACCTTCCAGCTCTCCACCTTACCTTCCGACTCCAAGTCCTTCACCGCCATCGTCCGCCGCCGTAACCCAGCCGTCACGACCCTCCTCTCCGTCTGGAACGGCGAGCAACAGACCGCCCGAGCCATCGCCGGAGAAAACGTCGCCGCCGCCGACTCCCTCCTCTCCGCCGTGGCTTCCACCCCTTCCCGCCGGAATTCCTTCATCGAGTCCACCATTCGAGCCGCCAGAATCCATGGATTTCAAGGAATTGACCTGAACTGGGTCTGGCCCAATGCCACCGACGCGGCGGCGATCGGACCCTTACTGGATGAATTCAAATCCGCCATCGATTCTGAATCGGAAAAGTCAAACAATTCGAAGCTCACCCTGACCATGGTTGTTCGTCGCTCCCCGAATTTTGGATCCCTCAGCTACCCAGTTCAATCCATGGCGAGGAATTTGGATTGGGCGCATCTCTTAGCATTCGATTACCACCTACCGACCAGAGAGAATTTCACGGCGAACCATGCCGCCTTGTTCAACCCATCCGGTGATCGAAATGACTCAACAGATGCCGGAGTCAGGGAGTGGATTCGGGTCGGGTTTCCGGTGACCAAACTGGTTCTGGGATTGGCGTACCATGGCTACGGCTGGAAGTTGGCGAATCCCGGGGATAACTATCTGGGAGCTCCGGCGACGGGACCAGCTGTGACGATCGCCGGCGATATGGGGTACAAGCAGATCAAGTCTTTTATTCAGAACTATGGATTTGGAGCTAGAGCGACGTATAACTCGACTTACGTTGTGAATTACTTCGTCGTGGGTTCGAATTGGATCAATTTCGATGGGGTGGAAGCAATCGGAGCGAAAGTTTCTTACGCCGTGGAAATGGGACTCGCTGGTTTTATTGCGTTCCAGCTGAGCAATGACGATAACTGGGAGCTCTCTCGTGCAGGTAACCCATTGCTGCTTACCTTTTTCATCCTGGTCTTTGTTGGGGATTTTCTAATTGCATGGATTTAATACTTTTTCAGCTCAGTTGACGGACATGGAAGGAAGACAAAACAGGCGGCAGCTGCTGCTGAAAGTCTTGCTCCCAATTGCGGCGGTCATCACTCTATCCGCCATTGTTCTTTGGTACGCTCGAAAAAGAGTATTGAAGCAGCAGAAAGGTAAAGAAAACCCCTCATTTCTCCCCTGCTTAAAACATTCTGAAAGTGCCCTCAGAGAACCTTCAAAAGTTTGATCCTTTGTTTCTTCTGCTACTGCAGGGTCCATGTTCCATGGCTACACCAGAAGCTACAACAACAGTCCAGGTCAAGCCAAAGCCTCCCGTTCCTCCTCGCCTGCGTTCTTCGGCAGCAGAGAGCCTCCAAATCTGCAGGCATTCACCTTCTCCGACATCAAAGCCGCCACAAACAACTTCTCAACCGAGAACTTGCTTGGATCAGGCGGGTTTGGCCCTGTCTACAAGGTCAGTAAAAGGATTTTCTGCCATATTGCTGAATCATGCTTAGATTTTCAGGATTCTGCTGAACTTTTTTAGTTCCTGTTGGTATTTTCACAGGGCGTGTTGCCTGGAGGGGAGGAAATAGCAGTGAAGAGGCTTTCAGAATCATCGACTCAGGGGATTGTGGAGTTCAGGAACGAGGTTTCGCTCACTGCGAGGCTTCAGCACGTGAATTTGGTCAGGGTGGTGGGATTCTGCACTGAGAAGGAAGAGAAGATGTTGGTCTACGAGTTCATGCCCAATAGAAGCTTGGACTTCTACTTATTCGGTCTCTGCTAAACTAAATTCCAAATCTTTCTGAGTTCAACTGAATTTCCTACTTTTTGGTTCTTCGTTGTGAAATATTCTTGTCGGGTGGATTCTTTTGGGCAGATCCTGTGAGGAGGTTAAAGTTGGATTGGAACAAGAGGGTTGCCATCATCGAAGGAGTGACTCAAGGACTCCTGTACCTCCAAGAGTACTCTAATTTTACAATTATTCATCGAGATATAAAGGCTAGCAACATTCTGCTGGATGATGGGATGAATCCGAAGATCTCGGATTTTGGGATGGCCAGGCTCTTCAGGAAAGATTTGGATGAGGCCAACACTAGCAGAATCGTGGGAACATAGTAAGTTACCAACGTCTCTTCTTACCATATTACCAATGATAATGAATAGCATCTATAGTACCTGAAACATTGGCTTGAGATGATTTTTCTATTGTTCTTAATTGACATGCTTCATGTTTCGCTAGTGGATATGTTCCTCCCGAATACGTGAAAAGAGGGATATACTCGATGAAATACGATGTTTATAGCTTCGGGGTCGTGCTCCTACAGATCATTAGCGGCAAAAGGACCCAATTCTACTATGGTTCAAATGAAGACCTACACCTCTTAGAACATGTGAGTTGCTTATTTCAACTTCCTTCTATGTTCAGAAATAGCTCTTTACTCAGCATATATCGACCCTTATCTTCTTCAGGCATACGAATCTTGGAGAAATGGTGAAGGAATGGAATTTTTTGACTCAGCATTGGACGATTCATCATCGCACTGTAAGTTGATGACATGTCTACAATTAGGATTGTTGTGTGTTCAAGAAAATCCGGACGATAGACCAACAATGCTGGAAGTGTCCTCTGTTCTGAGAATTGGTGCTCTGGGAATGGCTACACCAGAAAGGCCTGCATTTTCGACCAAAAAGGAAAACAGAGAAGAAATGGAATCTGGTACCACTTCTAGATCCCAACGACAAGTATGTTCGTTTAATGAGGATGATCTCTCTCAAGTGGAACCTCGTTGATTCGTATAATAATTTGTATATAGAAATAGATTAACAACATTCTCTTGTAGAGAACTTCGTTCAGAATAAAGCATCAAGAGCTCTAGTAGTTGTTTGATCGTGTTCGGTCATGTATCTTGATAAGTTTGATAACATACTTCGTGTCGAGGTGTAGTTTTTTTTTTTTTTTTTTATTTCTGCTCAAGTTATGCAATCTTTTTGGAATGAGATTGTAAAATGCTTTTCAATATTAACAAGTTAAGTGAGACCATAGAAATTGTAAAGTTTTTTTTTATATAATAGGATTGGAAATCTCTTTTCGAGCAAATATATCTTAATTCCTCCCAAACTAAGCATCATAACTATACAAATATTTTATATATTAAATAGAGATTTTTTATGTGACTCTAATGAATAGTAAGTGTCACATCAATTTTTCCTTATTTCTTTTTTAGTTTTGTTATTAGTTATTATATTATTTACAAGAGTGTGGACAACAAATATTAATTGTCATTATTAATTATCATTGAGAGAACAAAAGAAAACAATACAACATGTATAATGAAACAACGTCCGCGTTTACGATCCTTCAACTATAGAATCAATTGAACAGAAAAATAACTCTTACAGGACATGCAATACCCATCGCTGAAGCTTTTCCGTCATCAGTGCCTCATTCACGGTTGCTGTATCGATGTCGAGGCCAGTAATTTGTCTTCTCTATCCTTCCTTTCATCCATAATTGAACCCCCAAGTTTCCAAAGCAGAAAATTCAGGACAAAATCTAAAATCCAACAAAGACCCTGAAAATGACATGAAACTCTGATGGAAACTTATGACTTTCATCATCACCGTCGTTGTCCTCTCCGACGTGAGGAGGCAGATCAAGGGAGATGAGTTGTCCCCCTTGACAGGAAAAAAATATAAACAAAGTTTTATTTTGTAATTATTAAAAATTCTCTATTAATTAGTTGTCTCCTTTTTGTTTGTGTGATATTTAGAAAGAGGGGAAATGAGAGAAGAGTCCTTTCTAATTTTTTTACCCTCTTTTAATTGTAGAGAATGAAAACCCTTTATTTTTTGTCCTTCTTTTCATTGTAAGGTCAAATTAGTAGAATTGTTTATTAATTTTACAATTAATAGGGGTTGTTATCCCTTTCTTTTTTTGACAAAAAAACACTCTCTTTTCTCCTTCTCTCTCCATTCTTTCTTTACTTTAGCTTTCTTTCTCACTCCCCTCTATAAGACGAACAAGATGGAGAAACCCCAAAAAAAGATGATGTTGAAAAAAGCAGAAATCTCCTTGTTCCAAAAACCCTCCTCCTTAAGATGATCGAGATATGGTTATCTTATTTGCATTATCCCTTCATAGCCCCAGTTGGTCCGCCGTCGTTAAGAAGAGTCCGCCAGAGAAGAGACCAAGAAAAGAAGTCGTGGCGCATTATAGCTTCTAATGCGTCGAGAGAACGATAATTACTTTACTTCTACTTATAAAACTACTACGAATACTACTAAACTGTTTTATTATTCATTGACGTACTAAAACCAAAGAATAACGTACATATTTATAGGACTACTCTCACAACCCTTTTCATCTCAAACAAGGTAAACTAATCCTAACCCAACAAGTAAATAATAACGTCATCAACAAGACACAATAAACTAATACAAATATCCCTAATAACCATAATAACCCAACAATTAATTAACAAGAAAGACCCAAATAATAATTCTAGACTAGCCACATGAGTCGACGGGTGCTATAATGCACCAAGTCGTTAAGAAGAAAATTCAACTTAGAAGAAGGAAGAAGAAGAGGAAGGAAGAAAGAGAAGAATCCGCCCGAATGACAGCAATAAAAAAGAAACAGAGGATGTTTTGCATGTCAGCTTCTCTCTATGATTTATCTTCTCTCTGATTCCATGTCGATTTTGATTCTATTTATATCTCAATTTTCTATGTCGTTTTTTGGTTCGCCAAGCGATTCGATGACATCCAATCATGAATATACAGAGGAAGAAAGAGAAGGAAGAAGGGAGGTGGAATGGCGGCCATAAAGAAGAAGCAAAGGATGCTTTACATGTTAGATAATGATGATGATGCTTTTCAAGTGACCCTCTCTCCCCACACTCATATTCTATATGATTCCATCTTAGTTTCTTCTGTCTTTTAACGACTTTTGATTCTATTTCCATATTCCTCTTTCCCTTTTTTATTGTCGGACGACCCGATTGGAGCTGCGGCAGATTTCTCTCTTCCATGACTCCCCACCTTGACATATAAGGCCTCAATTAGATCTGGCGGTTCACTATGTAGCAGTCTAGCAGGATTGGTGAAGGACGTGAGGGGAAAGGCGGTTGTGGCGGGGTGGAAGACAACAAACACAACAGAGAAGATTGTGAAAGGGACAAAGTGGGCGGTGAGAACAGTGAAGGAGGCGGTTGAGCCAGCAGGGAAGCCGTAAAGAGCACGATGGCGAGGGACTGGGAGAGTGTGAAAGAGTACACAGGGAGGAAGAAGGAAGCGGCACTGGAACTGGAGACAAGGAAGATAAATTTTGGGTTTTTTTAATTAGCTTTGTTTAAACTGTTGAAATTATGTCTTAATTTATCAAAAATTAGCGTATGATTCGTCCGATTGGAGAATGATAATGAGAGGGGTTTCAGGAGCAGGTATACAAACACGTAAAATGCAGTGATAAGTAAAAACGAAGGTCTTCTTATCAGCGTTTATTTTGAATTCAATGTAATTTGGTGAATAAGAAGTCCAGTGGAAGCATAGAAACAATTGAGCTTTGAGAAGAAACCAAGAGATATATTGGGGGAAAAGTCTTTTCAATGGTTTCTACCGTCAACAAATTCATGTCTTAGCCAATAATTTATCTTGCTTAATCAATTACTATGCACTTTTAGCGTCCAAACTTGCATCTGATTTGGGTACATGAATAACATGTGTTCTTTTGTGTGGATTGGTGTTCTACACTAGTAAAACGATGTTAGTTGTTCTAAAGTTTGAGGTTGACCTTCAAGCATATGGATGGTTTCAAAACACAATTTCCACGGGTTTTCATTGAGGTTCACGAGGTTGCTCATATTTAAATGTCATCTTTCGGTTTTGCTTATATAAGTGTTCTTCATGAATTTATATGCATGTTTTCCCTTTACATGTAATCTGCCTATGTTGTCAAATCTCCTGCCTTATTTTGAACAGCTCATTTGTGTTTTTTTAAGCAGAGGCCGCTAGTGGATAGCAATTCATAATTGGAAAGATGTTTGTAGTAGTCTCAAAAGAATGAGATCTATAAGTACTATTGGGAGGAAGATGATATATTGTGTTCATTGCGCTTTGTTCTTTTCCCTCCAGATGGTGCCAGGTGATTATGTAGTGGGAGACTGTCATGAAAATGAGAATAAGTTGAATAGCAGTAAGGAAAATGACTCTCATACAAAGGTGTTGTATGCTTTCATTTTTACAGTGCGGTGCACGTTGTAAGGCCATCAAGGTTCTGGTCTATACAGACTCACGGGTCAATTATTATATCTTACTCCTCATCCTATTTAGTCAGTTCATTTGTTGTTTTTTAAATGTCATATTTAATTGTGAATTTGACAGGATAATAACAACAGAAGACACTATATGAAACAGTAGGGCTGAACTTGAACCACCTAAAAATAGATATTAGATCGGTCAATAATCAATAGTCACTTTCAGTGCACTTTCATGAGACCAAACCACTAAGGTTAATCATTAATCTCATTAAACACATCATAGCATCTCATGCAGTGTCATATTTTATTGATATAATGCACTCATTTTGGGATATCTTAGCTTAGGAATGTAAACTATTTTGACTCACATTTTGTCACCAACTTCTATATAGTTCACAGAGAAATTACAGTGGATACACAAACATCCACATGCCCTTGATTCCTGTGGTTAGTTTTCGAGGTCTGATCAGTCATGATGTTTGAGTATAACTGTAATTTTCCTTTTTCCCTTATTTGCTTAGACATACCTTCTAATGCATCATGAATCTGTAAATACACTAGGAACATATAGAACTGTGAGAAGGGCAAAGACGTTGATATCCCTAATGGTTTATTCACATTTTCAGGCCAATGAAGAGCAAGGCTTTTGTTGCTTGCAGGTTAGACATTCGTGTTTTGTTATTGTCTTTTCATTGGGGTAACTTTTATTAGATTAAGCTTCAGTTGTGTTTTTTTCTGTTTAGTCCTTTTTTACCTGCATAGCCTTCTAGTTAGTAGCACATTGAGGGTTTTTTTCAAATGCAGCTCATAGTCACTCAGTTATGAAAACTCTGTTCCTTTCAAGTTGTTGTTTGTAGTTCCATTTTCGCGAGAATGGTCTATACATGTAAGTAACTAGGGGTGGTAAACGGTAATCCGGTAAACGGTTTATCGTTTTACCGAACCGGTAACCGGCGGTAAACGATAAACCGTTTACCGGCGGTATCGGCAGCCGAGCGGGAAATTGGGGGAGTCGGTTTACCGGACACGGTATCGGTAAATACCGACGGTAAATCGGTATTACCGATACCGAAATCCCCCTCCCTACTCCACTAAAATATAACATATACATCATTATTCACAAATATAAAATATTACATACATGAATGTAAGTAAGTATAAGCCTCAAAAATATTGTAAATAAGAGTTAATAATACATTATTAATTACAAAAATGATTAAAAAAACTCAAAAAAATCAAAATATTACAACATCACTCCACTTCTAGAAATTCGGTTCGGTAAATATTGGGTAAACCGACTGAAAAAACCGCCTGAAGTCGCTTCTTACGGTATTTCGGTAATACCGGTTTGTAACCGTTTACCGGTAATTCGGTAATCGGTAAACTGGTTACAAACCAGTATCGGTAATCGGTAACCAGTTTGGCCAGTTTCGGTATACCGAAACCGGTAAATTCGGTAAACAATTTACCGTTTACCGACCGAATCCCACCCCTATAAGTAACTACATTTTCATGTTGCTTTTGCATTTAGGAATCCCATATGGGAATTGACGGGTTGAAGACGCCTTCATCATAAAAAAGGCATCGTCGAATCCGTGGTTTCATTCAGTGATAAGGGACCCAAACAGTACATGGACGACGTACAAATTTGAGTGGATAATCTACAACAACGTATCAACGTCCTATTTGGCTCAACTTCTACGACAATCAATGGTAACGACAACAACGTCAGGTGCAAAAAAATATCATCACAATCCTAAACATTTCATCATGATGTCTCTGGTGTGGATCAAAGGATATTACTTGCATGATGCCTT